AAATAGCTATTAAATTAACTAATGTTTTCCCCTTTTGACTAGCTAATAGCTTTTTTTGCCTGATATGTCTGCTATAAATGCTTAGGATACATTCACAAGTGGATTGTTTCATATCAAAAAGTAATATTCCACTGTACTATCTGCTGATTCTATAATTGGAAAATCGTAGTCATTTCTGTGAACCTCATTTGAGGAAGAGTGCTCAGAAATGGAAGTGGATCCCTAGGAGGTGCAGAGTGTGGAGCTTATATAAGCACTTGAAGGACCAAGGTTTGAAAGGAAAATCTGAAAAGCTGCTTGATAAGCCACCAAGAGAAGAGGAATTGATTTTAATTGTCATTCCTGAGGACAAAGCTAGGGCCAATGAGTGCTCTCTCACATTTCTCAGGCCTCTTAAAGGTAGAAGGGGCCATTTGAGGAGCGAGTGATCTAGGAGCATTGGTGGATGTTATTTTCAGTTCTGTTAATAGATCTATTAGCAGCTCTCCCTTCCCTTGCTATGGAGATGGCAGAAGCCACACATTCACATGAGGTGCAGCAAGACAAAAGCAGCCTGGATTACTGACCCGACTGCCTTGGAGAGTTTACTAGTAGGAAGAGTACATGAGTGAGAAATAAATGTTGACGTGTTAAGCTATGGAGATTTAGGTGTGTGTTACCCCAAGTGTGTATTAGCCTATCCTGACTAACACATCATGGTGTTTGACAAAGTGTGCTTTGGATGCCCTTTGTAAGCACCTCCGCCCCTTCACCAGGAAGTCTTTTCCTGGCTTCCTCTTGTTCATCTTATAGGGCTTACCTCAGCTTTGATTGCCCCCACCTCTCTTTCTGAATTAGTTGGCTCTTCCACATGCTTATGTGGTACATAACTATAGAGATGAATGATTTTTGGATGTTTATGGATTGATGCAATTATTTTGTGGATATTGGTAAAGTACACTTCCCTATAGAACAATTAATATAGATCAGTGGTTTTAAAAGTTCAGTCTGCACACCTCTGAGGGCCCCTGAGACCCTTTCAGGGGTCTGTTAAATCAAACCAACAGTGTAAATGCAATGGTGGCTGAAAGTGCTGGCACCTGAGCAAATCAAGAGAGTGACATCAAACTATACCAGGAGTCATTGTATCATTGTATTTTTCACTGCCATACATTCACAGGGATAAAAGTCTAGCTTCATTTAAAAATTCTGTGGTTGAAACATTAAAAATATAAGCTGTATTTCATGCTGAGTACATGTCTTCAGTAATATTCTGAATGACAAAATGAGTAATACAAATAAGCACTTTTGCTGCATTCTGAATTAAAGTGACTGTCCTGAATGAAAGCACTTGAATAATTGTATGACTTGCATGCTAACATCACCACTTTTTCACAAAACATTTTATTTGAAAGAAATGACTGGTAAACAATAGAATCAGTATTTGGCAGGCATGATCTTGAAAATGAATAATGGAAACTCATCAAAAGTGAAACAACTGACAATATTCATTGCTAATGATAAAATCTGAGACTTGTCATAAAAATTAGTATCCTGGTAAATTTATACATGCTTCTGTGAACTTGGCAGTGCTTTCACACTTAAAGACTTTATAATGGGATCACTTTTGATATTAGTGTGTTATTTTTGATATTGTATAAGAAAAGGTGTCAACATTTGGAAAATCTGCATAATTAAATTACTGATAAATACTGTTACAAAATCATGCTTGAATAAAAGATGCATGCAAAATACAATATAGACTAATGAATTTTAAAGTAACAGAACACAAAAAGATCATTGATATGGCTGAATTGGGAAGAAACTGCCATTTGTTAGATACTGAAGTATTTTCAAGAAAGAACACCTAAAAATGCTATTCACGTGGTCTTCCCCTTTTCAACTACATTCCTGTGTAATGATAGACTTTTTTCATATACTTCAACCAAAGCAACAGATTGAATAAAGAAACAGATATGAGCCAGGTGTCTTCTATTAAGCCAGATATTAAAAATAATTTGCAAAACTTGCCCTAGCTGTTGTGGCTCAGTGGGCTGAGTGCCAGCCTGTGAACCAAACGATCACCAGTTCAGTTCCCAGTCAGGACACATGCCTGACTTGTGGGCCAGGTCCTCAGTTGCTGGCGCAACCACCAAATGAAAGGCAACCACACAGTGATGTCTCTCTCTCTCTCTCTCCCCCCCTCCCTTCCCCTCTCTCTAAATATGAATAAATAAAATCTTTAAAAAATGTTAAAAAATAATTTGCAAAACTGTAAAACAATGCCACTTTTCTCATTTTTTTGTGTTGGAAAATATACTTATTTCTTAAATAAGAATGTTGTATGTTTACATGTAAAAAGCTTATTCCTTTAAGTAGATTAAATATTTTAAATATATGTAGTTTTAATTTTTAGTATGATAACAGATCTAGACTATGTAAACGAAAGCTCTTTGGAGCTCCAAATTTGAGAACCACTGCTATAGAAAATCTAGGATTGAGACTATGGACTTGGCAAAGTGAATGTTGTAGACTGGCTGCACAAGCAGACAAAAAGCGGGCACCTTCAAGTCCTCAGCCCTCATGCCACTCAATTATAAAAAGCCCTTCAATCTTGTTTCAGGATAAAATCTGCCTCCGAAGAAAGTGGCAAAACTCTCATTATGCCAGGTTCCCAGGTGCAGAAGAGAGTTCCTCAAAACATCCTGATTCAGCTTCTGTAAACCCACCCTCCCTGTGCTGTGGCACTGCTGCCCTTTACTCCTCCACTGTTACCCACCCCAAAAACTACAGAGAGCAATGGAAGGACCCTCTCGACCTGTTTCATCAGTCCAATAGTAGGACATACAGATTTTTAGTTGAAAGAAAATACTAAGGGGCTACTCAGTGCTGTAAAAAGTCAAACTATTATTTTGAAACTGTGAGACTGTCTGAGAAGATTCATTTGTAAAAGAAATTATATAACCACATGAAAAAGGTACTACACATGTAGGAGAACTGGGAAAATAAAATCAAGAAGAGAAAAAAAGAAAGCCCAGAAGAGCATGGGCAATAATGGAAAGATCCATCTCTCCAGAGGACACAGAGGGCCCAAGTCACCTTCTCTCCCAGAAGAGTAGCCTTTTTTAACAGGAACATATGACATAAATTCAAGTTTTATTTATTTATTTTTTGTTGCTTATCTTTTGACAAAAGCAAACATTCTTTTGAGAAAATGAGTAAGACAAAGAAATGCATGTGTTATGGAAAGAAAGACCACAAAAGATACCATAGGGTCATAAAAGAGCCAACTAACAAATCCAGCAAACATACTAGGAGATCCAGAGATGTGGAAGACTATGTGGAAAGTCTTGTGATGGAGAAGAATGATTAAAGAAAAAAAAAAAAACAATCAGCTAAAGACTGAAAAGATAAGACTCTAAAAAAAATCCAGTCAGTTACAGAACCAGCCACCACCTGAGGACATTGTCACAGATCTCATGAATATATAAAACCAAAGGAGGAGCAAATATAAAATGGGTAAGACAACTACAAAAGAGAAAATCAAGCCAGTGATAATCCAGAGTTACTCTGCAGCCCTGTAGCAGAGGCATTCTTCCCAGGATTTAGAAAAAATGTATTATGATTATTGTCTGGACATCAAGCTTCTAAACTTGACAGACACTGAATTCTCTAAGGTTAAGTTTTTTCTGATACAAACTGAATAAATAGCAAGGATAACCCTTTCAAGTAATTATCATTTTCTTTTTTTTTTCCCCAAACAGATGTTAGTTTTAATATTATTGTTGTACAGACGCACATCTTTATTATATATACTTTCATCTGCCAAAGAAAAAGATATACAAAATGACACCTAGACTGCATTATCTTTGAGGTAGCCATACAACATGTTTACAACTTATTAAAATTACTATTAGTTATGGTGAGGAGTTGATGATGGGTTATTCAGAGTGATGTCCCTTGGATAAGGTGAGCCATTTCAAGTAGTCAGTAGTTCTGATGTTTTTCCAACATGGTCCTCCCAAAGTCTTTAAAGGGTGAGGTGAAGTCAGTCAAAGAAATGGGGATGGGGGTGGATGTGGAAAGAGTATAAGGAGGGTAAATGGTAATGGAAAAAAGTACAATAAAATAAATTTCAAAAAAGAAATGATGAAGGAAAGCATTCGTCACAGTGAGAACAACTTCAACATAAATGAAAAGATGAAAATAGCATGAATGTGCTCTGAAAACTATGCTAGAAACTACCAATATCATTGAAACTCAGAGTGAGAGGTGGGCGCGTAGGCGATGGACCGAGGTGTGCTGGGGCCCCCCAGACTATGGAAGCCTTTGGGGACGACCCACAGGGGTTTGAATTGATCCTGAACACCAGTGGAAAGGTTGTGAGCCAGTCAGATTGGAGTTTTAAGAAATGAGTCTGATAACAGGGTAGAGGATGTATTTGAGGGGGAATAAGATCCAGGTCAGAGAAAATAGCTGGCCCAGCGTGATGAGAGCTGGCAGATAAGCTATAAAAGTCCCTCAGCAGTAGAGGTCATTTCTGGGCCCCTGATGCCCTAGGCAACAGTGGAATTAACTGGGGTCTGAGCAAAGGGCCTGGCGCCTCTCTGCCGTAGCTCAACATCCATCTGTCTTATTTTTGGTTATTTACCACTTGCTCTTCGCAACGCTGCAGTCTCCCTCACCCTCTCTTAGAGTAAGCTCACAGGAGCATCTCGTAGCTTTCAACCCTGAAGAAAGACATGGGTCTTGTAGTCTGAATTTAACTACTTTGGAGGGTACAAAGCATGGAAAAGAACTGTGTGGTACATAGGATCACAGACTGCGCAGGATGGTTAGATGCTGCGCATGAGAAATGGGAAGAAACCCGGACTCCTAGGCCACCGACATGATGCCTGGGAGATAGAAGGATTAATCACTGGTTTTAGATCCAATAAGAGAGAAGGAGCTAAAGAAAATTGTATTCGTTTTCTAGGCTGCATAACAAATTCCCACAAATTTAGCAACTTAAGAAAACTCACATCGATTATCTCCTCACCCCCTTGGATTAGAGCCTGGGATGGATTAGCTGGATTCTCTGCCTCAGGGTCTCCCAAGGCTGTTGTCAACGCAGCAGCCAGAGCTTGGTTCTCATGGGGAGGCTCAGCTAGGAAGGGCACACTCCCTAGTTCATGTTGCTGTTGCCAGTATTCACCTTCTTGCAGCTGTGGGTTCATGGCAGCTTCCTTCTTTAAAGCCTGCAACAGAGATTCTAGACCAAGACCTGCAGGAACAGCTTGATAAGAGAGGCAGGTTCTCCCACAACCCAGTGTAGCTCCTACCCAAGTAGCGGGGTATTTGTGGAGGATCATGATCTTTAAAAGCAGTGAGTTCTGGGTTCAAATTCCTCTTCCACCATTTACTCTCTGTGTGACCTTCTTGGACTAGTGTCGCAGGGGGCAACGCATTGGGGGCAGCACGGGGTGCGTGCGCTCCTGGATCTGTGGGTTACTGTCTGGAGCCAGCTGAGAGGGAGTGGGACTCGGAATCCTGCAGAGACCATTCTGGGGGTGTCACAGAGCAGGGGAATAAACACGAGTCATCGCAAACATTTTTCTGTCTGCCAGGAGAGGGAACATGGCACATCCTTCTAGTGGGGGAGGCTGTAACTATGATTTTCTTTTCTTAATATCAGAATTTTAAAGTATAGGACTTTAATATGTGTAATATATAATGTACATTGCCACAAACATTCAGAACACATATCTGAAACCTTTTTATCATGTATTGGTGCACACATTTCTATGCACATGTAATTAATGGATGTGCAGTGTTTAAGATAAATATGTTTCTAAGCAAAATTCTCTGTGCCAAATTTTGTACTACTATAGCATAATGATAACATCAACACAATTGGAAAATGATTTAAAATTTCCACCTTATGAATAAAAGCATCAATTTAATTGTTTTTATATAAAATTACCAGTTTACAAAATTAAGCAAAGTACACTTTAAGTTGTAATTTTTTATTTATGGTATACTCTATCATTTAACAATATTCACAGAATTATCTATCTGTTTCGAATAGTGTATGAGTGGACCTGATGCTAATTAGCAGTACTTGATTATAAACAATAGTCAATAAATTTTATGTATAAAACAGCTGCCTCTGCACTGCTACTTCCCATTACAGAGTTCATCAATCTCAAAATTATATTCAATAAAATGCCAAATGCAGTACAAATAATACTTAGAAGTTGAAGTAATTTACAAATAGGCACCATAAAGCTCTCTTAATTTGAATTAAAAGGAGGGGTACACAAACGTTTATTTGTAATAAGTTGACTGTTTAGAAAAATTGAAGGTTATTATTCTCCATCAACAAACTCTGTTCCTCACAAACAGATGGTGGCCAAGATGGTTGTGAGTCCAAGACAGAATTCCTGCAAGTGTTTGTGTTGAACAGTTCAACTATTATGGAAGCTGCATCTGAAGTCTTGGAAACACATTACCGCAGGATTAATAAAAATCTTAGTGGCTGCTCATATCATTCTTTCCTACTTCTTTTTTAATTTGTTTAATTTTTTATTGTTGTTCAAGTACAGTTGTCTCCATTTCCCCCCCCCCCCACTCTCCCTCCCCCTCTCCACCTCCCACCCTCAATCTTAACCCCCTTTGGCTTTGTCCAGGGGTCCTTTACACACATTCCTTGACTATCCTTCCCTTTATTTCCCCCATTATCACCTGCACCCCTCCCCTCTTGTTACTATCAGTTTGTTCTTTATTTCAATGTCTCTGGTTATATTTTGCTTGCTTTTTTATAATTTATTATTTTTTAATTTTATTTTAATTTATTTTTTCAATACATTCGTCTCTGCCTACCCCCCACCACTTTCCCTTGCCCCCTCCCTCCTTCCCTCCTTCAGCTCTTCCTCTTTGGTTTTGTCCATGAGTCCTTGCTATATGTTCCTTGACTTTCCCCTTCCCTTCCTTTTCCCCACCCCCCCCTCCCTCCTTCCCTCTTGTCTCTGTTGATTTCTTTTCATTTCAGTGTTGCTGGTCTTATTTTCCTTGCATCTTTGTATTGTTGGTTAGGTTCCACTTATAGGTGAGACCACAAGGTATTTGTCTTTCGCTCCCTGGCTTATTTTGCTTAGCATAATGCTCTCCAGTTCCATCCATGCTGTCGCGAAGTTTAGTAGTTCTTTTTTTCTTTCTACTGCATAGTATTCCATTGTGTATATGTACCATTACTTTTTGATCCAATCATCTACTGATGGGCATTTAGGTTGCTTCCAACACTTGGCTATTGTAAATGGTGCTGCTATGAACATTGGGGTGCATAGGTATTGGCGTTCTGGAATTCTTAGGGTATAGTCCCAGTAGGGGAATCACTGGATCAAAAGACAGTTCCATTTTCAGCTTTTTGAGGAAATTCCACACTGCTTTCCACAATGGCTGCACCAGTCTGCATTCCCACCAACAGTGGACTAGGGTTCCCTTTTCTCAACAGCCTCGCCAGCACCTGTCCTTTGTGGATCTGTTTATGATGGCCATTCTGACCGGTGTGAGGTGGTACCTCATGGTGGTTTTGATCTGCATTTCTCTAATGGCTAGTGATGCTGAGCATCCTTTCAAATGCCTCTGGGCCCTTGGTATCTCCTCCTTGGAAAAGCGGCTGCCCAGGTCCTTTGCCCATTTTGGATTGGATCGTTTGTCTTCTTGGAGTGGAGTTGAGTGAGTTCTTTATATATCTTGGAGATCAAACCTCTATCTGATGTGTCATTAGCGAATATATTTTCCCATAGGGTTGGCTCCCTTTTCGTTTTGCTGATGTTTTCTTTAGCCATGCAGAAGCTTCTTATTTTGATGAGGTCCCACTTGTTTATTCTTTCCTTTGTGTCCCTTGCTTTAGGAGACATATCAGTGAAAAAATTGCTGCATGGGATATCTGAGAGTTTCCTGCCAATGTTCTCCTCTAGGACTTTGATGGTGTTGCAACTTATATTTAAGTCTTTTATCCATCTTGAGTTTATTTTTGTGTATGATGTCAGCTGATGAGCCAATTTCAATTTTTTGCATCTAGCCGTCCAGCTCTCCCAACACCATTTGTTGAAGAGGCTATTATTGCTCCATTTTATGCTTCTTCCCCCTTTGTCAAATATTAGATGCCCATAGAGACCTGGGCTTATTTCTGGGCTTTCTATTCTGTTCCACTGGTCTATGGGTCTGTTCTTGTGCCAGTACCAGATCGTTTTGAGTATAGTGGCTTTGTAGTAGAGTTTGATGTCCGGTATCGTGATCCCTCCTACTTTGTTTTTCTTTCTCAAAATTGCTGCGGCTATTCGGGGTCGTTTATGGTTCCATATAAATTTTTGAAATGTCTGTTCTATTTCTGTGAAATATGTCATTGGTATCTTAATAGGGATTGCGTTGAATCTATAAATTGCTTTGGGTAGTATGGACATTTTGATGATGTTAATTCTTCCAATCATTGAGCACTGTATATGCTTCCATTTGTTTGTGTCTTCCTTAATTTCTTTCTTCAATGTTGTATAGTTTTCTGTGTACAGGTCTTTTACGTCTTTGGTTAAATTGATGCCTAGGTACTTTATTTTTCTTCTGCTATATCGAATGGTATTTTTTTTCTGATTTCTTCTTCTTCTATTGCATTGCGGGTGTACAAAAATGCCTTTGATTTCTGAATGTTGACTTTGTATCCTGCTGTTTTGCCAAACTCACTTATTAGGTTGAGGAGTTTTTTTGGTAGAGTCTACAGGGTTCTCTATGTACACTATCATGTCATCTGCAAACAATGATAGCTTTACTTCCTCCTTTCCTATTTGGATGCCTTTATCTCTTTCTCTTGTCTGACCGCTGTGGCTAGGACTTCCAATACGATGTTGAAAAGAAGCGGTGAGAGCGGGCATCCTTGTCGTGTTCCCGATCTTAGTGGGAAAGCTTTCAGTTTTTGCCTGTTGAGTATGATATTGGCTGTAGGTTTTTCATATATGGCCTTTATTACGTTGAGGAATGCCCCATTGATTCCCATTTTGCTGAGTGTTTTGATCATAAACGGGTGCTGTACCTTATCGAATGCTTTTTCTGCATCTATCGAGATGATCATGTGGTTTTTGTCTTTTCTTTTATTCATGTGATGTATCACGTTTACTGATTTGCGTATATCGAACCATCCCTGCATGTCTGGGATGAATCCCACTTGATCGTGGTGGATAATCTTTTGAATGTATTGCTGGATGCAGTTTGCCAATATTTTGTGGAGGATTTTAGCATCTATGTTCATCAGCGAAATTGGCCTGTAGTTTTCTTTCTTTGTAGGGTCTTTATCTGGTTTTGGGATCAAGGTGATGCCGGCCTCATACAAAGAGTCTGGGAGTCTTCCCTCCTCTTGGATTTTTTGGAATAGTCTGAGAAGGACAGGGGTTAGCGCTTCCTTAAATGTTTTGTAAAATTCTCCTGTGAAACCGTCCGGCCCTGGGCTTTTGTGTGCTGGGAGTTTCTTGATGACGCTTCAATTTCCCCAGCTGTTACCGGTCTGTTCAAGCTTTCTGTTTCTTCCTCCTTCAGTGTTGGAAGATTATACTTTTCTAAAAATTTGTCCATTTCATCAAGATTTTCAAATGTCTTGGCATATAATTGTTTATAGTAGTTTCTGATGATCCTTTGTATTTCTGTGGTATCAGTTGTTATTTCTCCTCTTTCATTTCTGATATTATTAATTTGGGTCCTCTCCCTTTTTGTCTTGATGAGTCTGCTTAAAGGCTTGTCAATTTTCTTTATCTTTTCAAACAACCAGCTTCTGGATTGGTTGACCCTCTGAATTGTTCTTTTCATCTCTTTGTCATTCAGTTCTGCTCTAATCTTGACTATTTCCTTCCTTCTCCTTGCTCTGGGATTTATTTGTTTTTGTGTCTCCAGTTCTTGAAGTTGTAGTGTTAGGTCTTTCCTTTGAAATGTTTCTATCTTTTTTAGGTAGGCCTGTATTGCTATGAACTTCCCTATCAGGACTGCCTTTGCTGTGTCCCATAGGTTTTGGACTGTTGTCTGTTCATTTTCATTTGTTTCCAGAAATTTTTTGATATCTTCTCTTATCTCATTATTGACCCATTCATTTTTAATAGTGTACTGTTCAGTCTCCATGAGTTTGCAAGTTTTTGAGGTTTCTCTTTGAGGTTGATTTCCAGTTTCAATCCCTTGTGGTCCGAGAAAAAGTTTGGTATTATTTCAATTTTCCTGAATTTGCTGAGGTTTGCTTTGCATCCTGTCATGTGGTCTATCTTTGAAAAACTGCCATGAGCATTTGAAAAGAATGTGTATTTTTCTTCTTTGGGTTGTAAGGTTCTATATATGT